AGAGACCTCCCAGTGGAGAAATTCTCTCTACCAATGCAGATTGACAGCTGTTTAACAACTTATATTCTTTTTTTTTTTCTAAGGCAATTGGGATTAAGTGACTTGCCTAGGGTCACACAGCTACACAGCTAGTAAGTGTCAAGTATTTGGTCTGAGGCTGGATTTGAACTCAGGTCCTCCTGACTTCAGGGCCAGTGCTCAATCCACTGCACCATCTAGCTTCCCCAACAACTTATATTCTTGAGTGTTGCCTGGGCCACTGAAATGATAAATGACTTTTCCCAGCTACATTGTAGCTATTATGTGCCTAGACTAAAGCTCCACTTTCACAGATTCTGAGGCCAGCTTTCTTAACTATAACACCATGGCTTTAGCAAAACCTGCCATGTACTTTTTAAAAAATATGTTGAATTTTTGTTAAATTGGCTGCACCCTGACCTCCAGGCACTGAAACATTTATTCTTCACCTAACTTCAGCTGATAGTGGAATCTTTTCCCAGATTGCCTCCCTCAGTATGGCAAATGAGCTGAGTTTGTCCCGAGGCTAGCTTGGGCAGTACTCAAAAGGGCATGTGGACGTTTTCAGATGGTGTTAAGAAGAGATGAAATGACAAGAGAAGCTTGATTCCCATCACAGAACTTGTGGAAGAGCTCTGGATTTAAATTCATGGAATCTGGGTTTGATTCTATCTCTACTCATTATTGTTGTATGACTTTGGGCAAGTTAGTTCCTTTCTCTCAGATTCCATTTCCTTCTCTGTTAAATGAAAGGATGGATCTCTAAGGTCACTTCTAGCATTCAATTCAAGGTCTTATTAGGAGATGGCTTTACTGTCTTCCCTTAAGAAAAAAAAAATAGCTGTTCTTTCATACCTTACTGTCCTCTAACAAGAGAAGGATGAACAACCACACGGAATATCCAGTAGAATCCCAAATTCTGGTGGCCCATGTGCTTTTGATCCACAACCAGAGTTCTAGAGCAGCCCTTTAATGAGCAGGAGGGTTGGAACACATGTCCAGAGAAGGAGTAGGAGACTCCCCAGCTACTGCAGGTAGCCCCGATGATATAGAACAGGCATCTGCAGGCCTGGCCCACTAGCCTGCTTTTGTATAATCCTCGAGCAAAGAATGTTTTTTACATTTTAAAATAAAGTTTTACTGTATTTTAAAGTGTAAAAATCATTCTTACTTCCTACTTTCCTGGGAAGCCCCTGGACAAGTAAATCTCCCATACACCCAAATTGTCAAGAAGAACACACATTAAGAACGTCCAATCTGTCTGAGGCCAGAGACCTTTTCAGCTTTTGCCAAAACAAGAAATTCCAGACCACGGTGCAAAGTATGCCAGATATGGCATCAGAAGGCCTGAATTCAGATCACTCCTCTGCTAATTAATAACTTTGTGACCTGGGAAAAACCAATTCATGTCTCTGGGCCTCTGTTTCCTCATCTGTCAAATGAAGGGACTAGATTAGTCTAGTCTAGACTAATGACCACTGAGGTCACTAATAACTTTAAATCTATGATCCTGTGACTTTTTGTACTTAGGGAGTAGGATTTAATGTGCCATCTTACTTGGGTTCTATTCCCAACTTTGCCAGCTCTGTGATTTGAGGTGGGTCATTTGAGTTCTCCATGCCACTGTTTCCTCATCTCTATAAAAAAGAGGGTAAGCTAAAGGATTGCTGAGGTCCCTCCCAGATGCAAAATTCTGCAATTTTTCTTTCATGTTTGTTCTTTCATACATTACATGAACAGCATCTAAATTCTAATGTTAGAATATTATAGCTGATTATTTTTTTCAAGTATGAAACCAAAGGAATGAAGGACTCTCAGAGGCAACCATGGTCCAAAGTACCTGGCTGTCATCCTGCCCCTGGCAGACAGATGAACTCTCCCAATGTACTTCTCCCACCAGGGCTTCATGACCCAGAACACTCCCAAACAGAATGAACACTGTCTTAAGAATTTTGACCTCACTGAATACCGCCAAGTCCTAAGTGATCTCTCCATCCAGATTTACCAGCAGCTCATTAAGATAGCAGAGGGCATGCTGCAACCGATGATAGGTAAGTGAGTATTACTCAATTCATGTGACTGTGAAGTTTGGAACTGAGGCCAAAGATAACCTGCTCCGTGTATCCACCCCCTCAGAAAAGTTTATGCAACAGATACAGGGAGAGTCCCCAGAAAACATTGCAGTTTTTTTCCAAGCAAATCTACATTATGTTTAAAGAAAAATAAGACCTGCCTTGTGCAAGGGTTCTAGTATTTGCTTCAACACTCCCTTTTCAAAATACTATTTACATGTCTTGACAAATAGAGTTGGAAAAAAAAACTTTATAAACTCTCAATAAGATTAGTAACTGTGAGGTATTAGAATGCTGTATGTGGTTATGTTTTGAAGTATGAAATTGGAACAACACTGCACCTAGACCCATGCAGAAAGGAGGTAAAATGTTTGTCACCCTGTCAAAGAGCACCAAAGTGTCTCTCTGGGAGATCAGAGATGAACATTCCCCTTCCTTGTTAGTCTGGGGAGGTGTGACTCTACCAGTCACTGAGGAGACAACTGTCCTGGGAATAGTGTTTCCTTTCATTGGAGATGTACAGTGGTTTAATAGAAAGAGCCCTGCATTCAGAGCCAGAAGTCCTGGGTTCTAGTCTTACATGTTACACTTAATAGCAGTGTGACCATAAATAGTTCCCTTAACTTCTCTGACCCTTTTTCCTCATCTGTCAAATGGAAATAATAATCCCTCAAGATTGTTACAAAGAAAATTATACTTTGTAAACCATACAATGCTATATAAATGCTATTTTAATTTGAGCTATTTAACAGATATTTAATTGAATATATTTAAGTAATTAACAGATATTTGTAATAATAATAGCTTTTATGTAGTGCTTTAAAATTTGCAAAATGCTTTACAAGTGTTATTTAATTTTATCCTCACCACCACCCTGGAAGGTAGGTGCTATTATTATCCCCATTTTACAGATGAGGAAACTGAGGCCAAGAAAGGTTAAGTGACATACCCAGGATCACACATCTAGGAAACATCTGAGGCAAGATTTGAACTCAGGTCTTCCTGAGTTCAGGCTCAGTATTCCTAGATTTCCGTGCTCTCCACCTACTAGCTTACTCATTAAATACCTACTTTATTATAAAAGGCACATGAGCAGATAGCAGTATGGTAAGGATTATCTAAGATTCAGAGCTAAAAAATAAGAAGGAGATTTATGTTTTCAAATTCAAGAAAGAGTGAATGGGACTTTCTAGGTTAGGGGTTGTTAATTTTTTTTTTTTTATGACAACCTGGCGAAGCCTATGGGGTCCTTCTCAGAATAATTTTTAAATGCGTAAAATAGAAAACTTAGCATTACAAAGTAAACCAATTATATTGAAAAACAATTTTCAATTAAAAAAATTTCTTGAACTCTGTGTTAAATACCTTTGTTCTAGGTGCTATCATATTCATTCTTCAGCCAAGCGCCAGGTGTATGTGGTTATGTTTTGAAGGTACAGAAGTTAATAGCCAGGACTTTACCTTTCTTTTTGTTGTTGTTGTTTTTGACTCTACCTTTCTTTAGGAGTCCAAGCCATGCTTCCATGAAATGAAATGAAAGTGTTTGGAGTTCCTTGGACAAGGAAGTTCCTAAAAGAACCCATCTCATATCATATTTTTCCTTATAATAAACTATATTATAGCAAAATTCTAATTTAGTCTATTTCACAGGGCAGGGGAACTGAATTACCAGTTGAATAACTTGCCCCAGGGGCAGCTAGGTGGCACAGTGGATTGAGCACTGGACCTGAAGTTAGGAGGACCTGAGGTCAAATCCAGCTTCAGACCAAACACTTGACACTTACTAGCTATGTGACCCTGGGCAAGTCACTTTAACCACAATTGCCTAAAAAGAAAAAAAAGAAAAGAAAAGAATAACTTGCCCCAGATGCTTCCAAAGCGAACATAATTAATCAATGATTTCTCTCTAATCCCTCTCCCCTGTTTCCTCATCCTCCCCCCAGATATAGGGTTACCTGAAGCCCAGGGGGCTGTTTGAAAGACTTGCCTCATGTTATATGGTATTTGGCAGTCTTTACTTCTCTTTCTTTTTGGACGTCATGGAGACTCTCGGGTAAGAATTTCCATGCCAAGGATGAGTAGGACATAATAATATTAAATAGTAGGACATTATAATAATATTAATGACAAACATTTATATGGCACTTTAATGTTTGTGTAGCTCTTTACAAATACCTCATTTTATCCTCACAACAACTCTGGGCAGTGGATGTTATTATTATCATCCCCATTTTATAGATGAAGCAGATAAAGTTTCAGTGACATGCCCAGGGTCGTCCCACAGCTATGTCTAAAGCCAAATTTGAACTCAGGTCTTCCTGACACTAGGTTCAGTGCTCTATCCACTGTACCACCTAGCTACAAGTACAGGTATATTTCTAACTTTTATGCCTCCGGGTATTTTTCTGGTGTCCTATACCAAAATCCAGAGAAACTGGAAAATCTGGGTGATATAAGAATGGGTAATCTTGTTTCACAGGGAAAATCTTTCAACCCACTTGCTATTTTCTTCCTAGTGTCTGCCATGTTGGAAAATGAAAGCATTCAGGGTTTGTCTGGAGTGAAGCCAACAGGCTACAGGAAGCGGTCTTCTAGCATGGTAGATGGGGACAATTCCTATAGCCTGGATGCCATCATACGCCAGATGAATTCCTTTCACAGTGTGATGTGTGACCAGGGCCTGGACCCGGAGATTGTCCAGCAGGTGTTTAAGCAGCTCTTCTATATGATCAATGCTGTGGCCCTCAACAACCTCCTCCTGAGAAAGGATGTCTGCTCTTGGAGCACAGGCATGCAACTCCGGTAAGTTAAGGGGTGAGGAGGGGGGGATGCACAGTGCACACAGCAACAAATGACACCACAAGTTTTCCAAACTATAGCTACAAAGCAGGGACTTTAACTCAGTTCAGAAAACATTTAAGTCCTTTCTGTGAGTGAGACACTGTGCTTAGATGCTTTGTTGCTGAAAAAGAAAACCAGAATGCCATGGCTTTCCAGAGCTGGGAAACTGACCACTTGACATATAGGTGGTAAACAGTTACCTGTATATAAAGATAAATATAAAATAGCTTTAGCAGAAAATTAAAGATTGTGTAATTGGAGAGTCTATGTACATGGTTAAAATGAATCAACACCATGAAGATGGAACTATTACCCAAATTATTTTGTAGATATAACACAATACCAATTAAAATACCAATGGACAATTTCATTAGAATTTGGTCAAGTAGCAACAAAATGTGTACAGAAGAACAAACAGACATGAATATTAGGAAAATTATGAGAAATAGTGAGGAAGAAGGAAGCCTCACTACTAGATCTCAAACAATATCCATAAAGCAGTAATGATCAAAACCATCTGGTTCCACATTATAAAATAGAAAAATGGATCAATGGAACAGAATAGGTAATTGAGAATTGGAACCAAAAGCATATATCATACTAGGGTGTAATATATTCCAAACTCCAAAGCACTAGAAAAGGAATAAATTTTCAATAAAAATTATTAGAAAGATTGGATAGCTATGTGGGAATGGGGGTGGGGGAGGGAAGTAGAGGGATCAAAGCCACACCTTGCCACAAAGACTGTTAAAAATTTCAAGTAGAAAAACTTCATTTTTTAAAAACTGGAAGAAAACAATGTTATATCAGTGACAATTGTGTAGAGGAGAAAAATGTTTATATACATGCATGTATGTGTGTGTATATTTAAAAAAATTTTTAAATTATAGAAGACAATGTAAATGAGGTGATATATAAAAATGGAAGTTTTATACAATGCATCCAGAATAGAAAGAAAAAAAAGAAAACCTCATTAACAAAAGCAAAGTTGCAAAAAAATTTCTGATATAAATCTGACATTCAAAATATACAAGCAACTGACATAAATTCATAACAGGAGAACTGATTCTTCAATGGATTAGTGACCAAAGGGATAGATAGTCTGTTTTCAAATTTAAAAAAAAAAATACAGCTTATTAGCCACCTAAGAAAAAATTTTAAATGAGAAATAAAATGTAAAATGATGTGAATACCATCTTGCATCAGTAAAATTGGCAGAAGTAGCCTAAAACAATAAAATCACTGTTGGGGATGTCTAAAAACAGTCATTCTATTGTACTGTGGGTGGCATTATGAATTTGTTACAATCTTTTTTGAAATGAATATATTCTTAGTATATAAGCTCCTTGAGGGCAGGGTCATTTTTTTGTTTTTTGTTTTTGTATCCCTGGAGCCTAACATAATGTCTTGAATATAGTAGGTACTTAATAAATATTGGATTGGTTGGATTTGAACACTATCTGGTAATACATAATAAGAACTACAAACTTATACGTACCTTTGACCCATTGATCCCTTAGGAGTATATCCTAAGGATATTATTGAAAGGGGAAAAAAGACTATCTCTACAAAAATATTCCTAAAAGTTTTATTCAATTGGGAAAAAAATGGAGCCAATCCATGTATCCAATAATTAATGGATAACTGATCAAATTTTGGCATGTAAGAAGCTTTGTGCTATAGTGAATAGTGAACAAATTTTTGACTCAGGAAGATAGTTCAAGGCCTGTCTCTGTCACATACCAGTGTTGCAATTATAGACAAGCCACTTAACCCCTTGGTATTCAGGGAAAATTTCTTTTCTTTTTTTTAATAGTATTTTTTTCCAATTACATATAAAGACAATCTTTAATATTCATTTTTTAAATTTTGAGTTCCAAATTTTTCCCTCCCTTCCTCACCACTTCCTCCCTAAGACAGTAAACAATTTGATATACATTGTGGAGGTGCAATCATGTATAATTTATTTCCATATTAGTCATGTTGTGAAAGAAGAAATAGGTCAAAAGAAAAGAAGCACAAAAAATAAATTAAGTAAAAATCACATTCTTCAGCCTTTATTCCGACTCCATCATTTCTTTCTCTGGATTTTCCATCATGAGTTTTTTAGAATTGTCTTGGATCATTGTATTGCTGAGAAGAGCTAAGTCGTTCATAATTGATCATTGCACAATGTTGTACAATGTTCTTCTGGTTCTCCCCACTTCGCTTTGTATCAGTTCATGTAAGTCTTTCCAGGTTTTTCTGAAGTCTGCCTGCTCATCATTTCTTATTGCACAAAAATTACTATACCACAACTTGTTCAGTCATTCCCCAGATGATGGGCATTCCCCTCAATTTCCAATTCTTTGCCACCACAAACAGAGCTGCTATAAATATTTTTTACATATAGGTCACTTTCCCCTTTTTGTGATCTCTTTGGGATACAGACCTAGTATAGCCCTTTGGGCATAGTTCCAAATTGTTCTCAAGAATGGTTGGATCAGTTTCAACTCCACCAACAGTGCAGTAGTGTCTCTGGGCAACTTTCTAAGACTATAACTTACAAGTAAGTTACGTAGAGAATCAATGGAAAGAATTTCTACAGCCTTCTCTTCCCCCCGCCCCCACACCCTCCCCCACACACACAAACTGTTGAAATTGCAGGACTGGATCACCCCCCAAAAAAATGACAGATGTGAAGAATTTAAATACATAGAAATAGGTGTGGTAGAAGTGAAGTCATGCAGAGTGAAAAAATCAGATGGTAAAAAATACAGGCTGACTACAACTATGTCAAAATGAATGAATGATTTAAAGAGGCTTCAGATGAGAAAAGGACTTACTGTACTATAGTTTAGAGCTTGAGACCTTCCCTTACACATGTGCTGATCTATGAATCATTTCAGTTCTAGAATGACCGGTTCAGAAGTGTGCATCATTGTAAATAATAGATGTGTTCCTAAAAATGGACATCAATTAAATTTCACAAAATCAGGCCAGACTTGCATAGACTGAATTACATTTGTTTTCTTCATTTACTTATAGATCTACTTACTGGTAGATTCAATAAATAAAGGAATTTTTTAAAATTATACTTATTTACATATATATTTATATATTATTTTTTACTTTGTTACTATCATTACTATCATTTATTGCTTACTGTGTGCCTGACACAGTGCAAAGTATTAAGGATAAAAACAGAAGCAAGATAGACAGACCTGAAGGAACTTATATTCAAATGGGAGAAGACAATACATACAAGGGAGCTGGAAAGATACTTTCTTCTCCTGGTTTTCAATAGACAATGGTTCCCAATAATCTGACTTTTTCTTTGCTCCTATCCTCATCTGTCAAGCAATCTTTTATCTGTAAACAAACATAGATACCTGCTACTTAAAGCAAGTTGAGCAGTCATTTTTATGTAAACAATCATTCTTTCAGTTATATTTTATGTTCTTTTTTTTTGGTCTCAGATGTTTCTCTAATAATTAACATATGACTTTTTAAAGTTCAGAGAGAGGTCTATGGACTCAGAGCTGGAAGGGAGCTTAAAGGTCATCTAGTCCAGCCCATTCATTACAGAAGAGGAAACTGAGGCAAGGAGAAGTGAATCACTGTGCTAAAATTCACATAGGACTCAGTGTCAGAGCCAAGGTTTAAATCTAAGTACTCAGACTCCAAACCCAGTGCTCTTTCCACTGTACCAAGCTGAGATGATTAAGGTTTCCCTCCCCCAAGCCAAAGACAGAGAACTCCAATTTTGTTTTTTAATTGGTTTTGGGAAAGTAAGGCATCAGGCAAAACAACGTTAAAGACAGCAACACTATGTTTGTGCACATATGCCATTAACAGTTTGGCATTAGTGAGCAGCAGAGAAATGGACATCTTGGACACCTCAGCACTGGAACCTTGACTGACCAAAATCCAATTTACATCTTAGACAACTGACCAAATAAAGTGAATAAGCTCCTGTGACAATGGGAAGGACAACATTGAGAGGAAGAGAGGGAGGGAAAGAGGGAAGGAAGAAAGGAAGGAAGGAAACAAACATTTATTTAGCACCTACTATTTGCCAGGCCCTATGCTAAGTGCTTTACAAATATCATGTAATTTAATCCTCACAACAACCCTGGGAGGTACATGCTATTATTATCATCCCCATTTTACAGTTGAGAAAACCAAGGCAAAAAAAAAAAGGTTAAGTTGACTTGCCAAGGGTCATATAGCTAGTAAGTATTTAGAGATGGATTTGAATTCAGGTCTTCCCGACTCCAAGCCCAGTCCTCTATATGCTATACTACCTTCATTATCTATTTTTGACTTATGCACCTAGGTATAACATAAGCCAGCTGGAGGAGTGGCTTCGAGGGAAGAATCTTCACCAGAGCGGAGCAGCAGAGACTATGGAACCTTTGATCCAGGCGGCACAGCTCCTGCAGTTAAAAAAGAAAACTCCTGAGGATGCTGAGGCCATTTGTACCTTATGCACCTCCCTCAGTACACAGCAGGTATGAGATTGTCCTAGGCTGCTTCCAGGCTGGCAGAACCGTCATCTAGCATACCGGAGTTTGGATGGCAGTTGGGATGCTAGCAGCTCTGTTTTCAAAAGGTTGAAATACTTGCCTTTAAAACTCAGTAACTGCAAAGCTGCCAGGGTTGGAGGAGATAGAGCTGTTCCGAAGCATGGGACTCAAGACTATGATGCAAGTACATTCTGGATCAGGAAGTAAAGAATTTTTCTAGTTTTTAAAAGTGAGGTTGAGAGAGGACTCCAAATAGCTTTACTTAAAAGCTGCTTTTGAAGATAAATTCTGGCTACTTGGCAAAAAAAAAGTGACATTTGCTTAAAAATAAATGGCCTCTAGGGGAGATGGTCTAGGGTTGCATTTTGTGTAGAAATTTTGTTGATAGGTATTAGGTTCAGCCCAGACTCCATTGTCCATTCCTAATTTGGGTCTGGATTCAAGATTTGATTTATATTGGGTACTGAAGTCCATTCTTTGAGGTTTTCTGCAGGTTCTGATAAGGTTACCTTCTTTGTGACCAACATTTCTTTTGATTGCAACAGATTGTCAAAATCCTCAATCTTTACACTCCCCTGAATGAATTTGAGGAACGAGTGACAGTAGCCTTCATACGAACAATTCAGGTGAGTTTGAGAAAATTAATCAGCTTTATAAAAAGGTCATTTCCAGAACTAGTAACTGGCATTGAAAGTATAATTGAACCTTATTATCTGTGCTAGGAAACACTGGCTTAAAGGCAGAAGATGCTAGATGACACATGCTGTGGGCCTTGTTACCTCTGAAAGGACTTCTGCCTTTCTATCCATTTGCTTGGGTAGAGAAATGAACCATATCTTCCATGCATAAATTAGCATAATGTGAATAGGCAATATTCACCTGAATAGTCTATTTCTCTCAGATTTTAGAAGTATACAATCAACATAAACCTCTTCATTTATTACTGGGATGTAAGGAAGTTACATAACCACATCTAACAATATCAGAGTAGAAGGGGAAAAATAAGAAAATGGGGGAAAAATTTTAATTTCACATACATAAACACATATATTTGTAGAGATACACATACACAAATATTTATTTTATTAAATAATGGCTTAAGAATGACAGATAATAGGGCAGCTCAGTGGCACGGTGGATAGAGCATTGACCCTGGAATCAGGAGGACCTGAGTTCAAATCTGGCCTCAGACACTTGACACTTATTAGCTGTGTGACCCTGGACAAGTCACTTAACCCCAATTGCCTCACTTAAAAAAAAATGACAGATAATTCAGTGGGGAAAGGGAATACCTCATTTGTATGTGATATCACAGGCTTCAGGATGTATTTTAAAAAGCATTCAATTTGGAGTCAAGAGAGACTAGAGTTTAAGTTCTTTCTGGTGATATTTACTTACTGTGTGACCATTGGTAAGTCACTTAACTTCTTTAACTCTCAATTTACTCATCTGTAAAATATGGATAGCCTTCTAGGTTTATTGTAAGGCTCAAAAGAGGTGATAATAACTCATATTTCTATAAAGCATTAAAGTTTGCAAAGTATTTCACATAAGCAATCCCATTTGAGCCTCACAAAGACCCTGAGAGGTATGTAGCTATTATTATCTCAATTTATAGCTATTATTATCCCAATTTATAGCTATTACTATCTCAATTTACAGCTATTATTATACCAATTTTACAAATGAAAAAACTCAAGTTCAAAAAGTTTAAGTGAACTACCCTTACACTCACATACACTCACATACGCACACATAGCAGTTACTCTCACAAATTTTCAAAAATCATTGACAACTTCTCCATTTAGTGGCTATAGGGGAACATATTGAGTACAAACATGGCTTCCTCAAATGTACATGTAGAAAAATAAAACTATCCTGTAACTTCTCTAGGTATTATTAAGGGGTTGAAGAGAAGTAGTGAGATGTTTAGGTTTGCGAAGATACCTGTATCAAGTAGAAATAATAACGGCAACTTGAAAATCTGTTCAGGTCAGAGAAAAGAAAATGTTCCAAACTTGAGAGAAAATGTGTAATTTTTGTTTTGCTTTTTACAAAAAGCTAGTGACATCAAATTGCTCTTGGATATTTATTCAAAACACATTACAAGTCTCCTTAGGAATTTGGATTATTACAGAGCCTCCCATTTGAAGGGAAGCCAGTGATGATGGTGATGACAATGGTGATGGTACTACTGATGATGGTGGTGGTAGTGATGGTGATAATGATGATGATGGTGATGGTGGTGGTGATGGTGGTGATGGCAGTGATAGATAGCATTTTTATAGCTCTTTATGATTTGCAAAGTTCGTTACAGATATTACCTCAGTTTATCTTCACAAAAACCCTGGGTGATAGGTGCTATTATTATCCCAGTTTTACAGATAAGAAAACTAAGGCAGACAGAAGTTAAGTGACTTGCTCAGGAGTTAGTATCTGCCACCAGATTTGAACTCAGGTCTTCCTGACTCCAGGCCCAGTGTGTTATCCACTGTGCTACCTAGCAGCCATGTCACAGTATAAACTGACTCTGGAATTGTTCAGAGGATAATTTACTAGAAGATGCTGATTTCAAAGGAAAAGTTCAATTGAATTTAAAGCACCAGAAATGAGCCAGGACCTAATTAAATACAATCAGCAGTGGAAAGCAGGCAGATTCTCCCTGACAGAAAAAGCAGAAGGCAGGTTTTCTGATCCAAAGAAGCCTGTTAAGATGGCAATCACTAATAATGCTGACCCTGGTGTGCTGATAAGGAGAGGCTTGCAGCACCCTCATCGTGTGAGGGTCCATTCTAAAGAGGTGATCGACAATACCATGAACAATACATTTTTATTCTACCTTCACCTTTATAAAATAATTTCAAGTAGGCCTTGCTGTAAAGTAATTATAAGTAGGCAAGACCAACATTCAGAAATCTGAACTTACAAGTTCAGATGATTATTCATTTTACAAAATTATTCCCTTCACGGTTCCTGTTAAATAATATCTGTGTATTTTAAATTATTACCATAGCATATTTTTTAAATTTACCCAAAATGAGATATCTATAAACATAATTCTTAAAATATTATCCCATTTACCCCATCATCCACCCCATCCTCAAAATCCTCTGCAAGTTGTTTTAGTCTTGCCTATGTTCTTTCTTTAAACTTTTTTTTTAAATTAAAAAGCACTTATTTTCTCTCCCCCCCCCCAAAAAAAGAAAAAGAACAAAAACAAAACCCTCGTAACAAATAGTATGGTCAAACAAACAAATCCTCACCTTAGCCATGTCCAAAAATGTCTCATTCTGCACCTTGAGACCATCAACTATCTAGCCAGCTTCATTGGTCCTCTGGAGTCATAGTTAGTTACTGCATTGATCAAAGTTCTTAAAGTGTTTCAAAGTTGGTTGTCTTTATTGTGTTATTGTTGTTGCATAAATTGTTCTCCTAGTTCTGCTCCTCTTATGCTGAAGCAGTTCAAAGAAGTCTTCCCAGTTTTCAAATGACACAATGATATTCCAGTCTATTCATTCTGCAAGTTATCCATATACCTTTTTTAAACTGCAGAATCCTGTTCTGATACTACTGGACATCTTTGGATATAGTGTTATACTCAGTAAGGACAGTTTAAATGCTACCCCTATCTTTCCAAATTCATCTTGGTATGTAGGAATCCAAATAGCAGTGCCTTTTATTTGTACTTGAGATTTCTACATGTGACAGAGACTTATAAAGAATCCTTGGGGCAGCTAGGTGGCACAGTGAATAGAGCACCCTAAAGTCAGGAGGACCTGAGTTCAAATCCGGTCTCAGACACATAACACTCACTAGCTATGTGACTCTGGGCAAGTCACTCAATCCCAATTGCCTCATCATAAAAAAAAAAATTAATCCTCAAATCAAAAGATACCTTGAGCTCATCTAGTCTCAAATCATGCTAGATTGGTACTTTTCTCCTGTTTTAAAATATCTGCAGGGAAAGAGTTTATCATTTCCAGTCAAGAATCACTTTTTTATGTCTCTCAGAATGTGCCATAATTTAATCCTATTTCTTGTGTGTTCCTTATAGAAACCAAGAACTTTTTATTTTCACATGCATTAAGATACTAGGATATTGGGAATGTCATTTCCCCTTTCTCTAGGCCTCGGTTTCATCTTCCATAGGATAAGGGGGTTGGAATAGATGATTCTTAAGGTTCTTTCCATCTGTATCTCCTTTGATTTTAAGATAAATGTGGTCCCTGACCACTTGATCTCCAGTTTACTTTCCAGACTTTTTCCAGGACATGTGAAAAGTTATACATGAACCTAATTATTTAAAGGTACAGTACATCATTTGAAATAAAGGCAATGTCAGAATTCTTAATGGTTTCCTTCTCCTCAGGCACAACTACAAGATCGAAATGACCCTCAGCAGCTGCTCTTAGACTTCAAGCACATGTTCCCCGTCTTGTTCCCATTTAACCCATCCTCCCTGACCATGGACTCAATTCATATCCCTGCGGCTCTCAACCTGGAGTTCCTCAACGAAGTGTGAAGACCAATGTGATGTCTTGGCTCCAGTCCCAGTGAGTTCAAGCAAAAAGAAAACAATGACATAAATTGAAGGACATATTCAGTGTGGTAAAAGCGGACCAAGCCAGAGCCTAAGAACCTGTGCAGAGTGCTGAACAGGCACATATCTTCAATGTGATTATTTTTCTTTTGTATTCTATAGTTCAAAATAAGAATACTTGAAATACAGGTTTTTTTAATAGTTTGGTTTCAGACTAAACAAGTGCAGTCCATAGCAGTTAATACAGAGATTCCCCCAGTGCCATAATCAATGTACCAATCTTGTCAAGCAGACATTGGCCAACTTTTTTATCTTCATTCCATGGCTATTTAATGCTTAAAAATTGGACGTTTAAACTGCCTTCAGGGAGCTTCTAAAATGATGGTACTGATCATTTTGAGGTTGACACACATTCTCCTTTCTGCTGTTGTAGGTAGCAGGGGAAATGATGTTGTGGTTTTGTGGTGGGTTGCCTGGTGACCGGGATGAGTTTGCCCATTTTTCCCACTACAGAGGCCAGTAAGGTTGGCCTCTTCATCCTTTCCCCAGGCCTTAGTAGTATTTTGAACTTTGCTTTTTTGGAGCAAAAATGTCACAATGTACACAAAAATGTACAATCCCCTTTATGCCCAAAGACTTCTTCTTGGTCTCAGTATTTAGGAAGAGTTAAAGCTGCTACATGTCAATTCTTAGATGATGACTACCAAATTAAGTAACTCTGAGATGTTCTCATGTCCAAAACTTTTTCACAGTGAATGCATCCAGACCAGACACTGTTTTTATATACATAATTCCCCCAAGTTCTGTTGTCATTTATGAAAGAAAATGTCAATGGCAAGACTAGTAATCCCAAAATATCGTTTATCTATTCTCTAATATGACAGGAGAGCTCACAAATAGTACTTCATTGTTGTTTCAGCATCCCCTAGGCAGTTAAATTCTTTCTCAAAAGGAGATTTATGAGTGTTTGAAAATATATGAAAACAATGAATATAGATTTGGTTTTTAACTTAGATGCTACATTTTTTAAATGCACTAAAATTCCAGTAAAATATCTGACATTGTTCATCCATTTCTGTTTGTATTAAATATTTTTTCAAAGTTACTGTGTTAAAGGCATATGAAATCTCCCTGCTAGAAAATAAGGGGGTGGAATTTCCAGCACTTAATAATGCTTACCCAAATTTTGTCACTTTACAAGTAAGTTTTTTCTAACACTCCATATGGACATTTTTTCAGAAGAAAGCATCTATTTTGAAAATTCTACATGACCTCTTATACTATGTACTCTTGTTTACTGTCTTCATCATATACTTTCCTTCTTAAAAAAAAAAAAATGCAAAAGTCTGTTAATAGATGGTGATAGTATGAAGAAGGATGTTGCCAGTGCAGGAGATCATAGTTTGCTGACCAGAGAGAAGTGGTCCCTCTTCCTGATTCTTAACAGGGAAGTTAATTATTCCACAAATTACCAGTTACATGACCCCATTATTCTTAACTCTACTTTCCCTCAGGAGCCCATAACAAAAGGCCCTGGAAACAAATGCATACCTCTTTCCTCATCACCTCTCCCAAGCAATTACTTCCTTCCTTCTTTCAGGCCCCCACCTCTATCATCACCCTCATCCATATGGTCTCAGAACAGCAGAACACTCTACCCTTGTTACGATGACAATCATATCAAATCTAATTCTTCATTAACAGGACCACCTCTACTTCCACAACAAACACTCTAACTTGTTTTTGGGTATCTGCTGAATTAAAGCTGTTTCTGATTCATTCATTCATAGATACATATCCCTGATAATATCCATAGCATCACCAACCAGTTTCATTTTCAGTGTTAGTATGAAAGTATCACTTCTGTGGCTACCTCCTTAATAACTGTAAAAGCATCTTGTAATGATTTTGCAGCACTTTAGTTCAAAATTATACCTATATGCAAAGGCTACCATTATCCTCCAAGAGAGGAGAAAGCAGCTTGTCACAGACTCTAAGAGTTGGAAGATATCTTAGATTTCACCTAGTCCAGCCTTCTGCAGTGCAGGACACTTCCCTAAAAACTCAACACATTTACTTGGTCAAGCCCCTAATGGCAAACATGAGTTTTCACCATCACTATCCTAAGTGTCTGCTCTTATGCATGGATTATGTTTCCAGGACTTGGAGACCCACCCACAAAACCCTCTGAGTCAGGGCCCCTCTTTATCTGTCTGTGCCTTTGGGCTTTGCTAACTAAAAGGTACAAGTGACAGACATCCCCTAAGTTTTCCATGCTTCCCTTAAGCTTCTTTCTGTCACTCACCAGACTGGGAAAAATGTTAGCTTTCTAAAGAAAAAAGTGTCTATGAAGGCAACTACTGCCACCTATCCTTAACTAATTTATCAGCTTTAACTTAATTAACTCATCATCTTCCTCAGACAGTTTAGGTGCCCATCTTTCAAGGGTCCTTAGTTAAATCACAGCAGTAACCAAGGATTTACAATATTTAATGCTTAGCCATTAGAGTAAAATGGAAATAATCTACTGAAGGGTTGTTTTTTTTCTGCATAGATATTCTAATTAATCACAGATTTCATTCTTATTTTTTTTCCCTAAGGGATAATGGTGTTTTGCTGGAGCTGTAAAGAATTTAATTTATGTGTATTATATTAAAAAAAAAAAACATAAGATTTTTATAGAACATTAGTATAGAAATATATAGAAATTGGCTATTTAATGTTTAGATCTGTAATATTTAACTTACCACTTAGCCTGTGCTTGGAAAGAGATTCTTTTGTATCTTTAATGTAAAAATCTTTTGTTAACTATTTTTACTCCCTGCATTTAAAAAGCACATTTAATGCAGCTTTATTCACTCAGACATCCCCAATTCCATGGAAATCAGAATGGCATTTTGATTTAAGGAATATAGTGCAATATGATAATGACAAGGTTGAGATCTGTATTTGTTAATATCTCAGATGAGCACCTTTCCCACTCTGTGCCTTCAGTTGTTATTAAGATAACTGATTTCTCAATTGCTATTTTCCTGGAATAAGCATTATTGTGGGAAGAATTTTAATGTTCTACATAACATTGTGGTGGATTTAGGATTTATCCAGTGAGTCATTCTGAAATGTTTTAAAATCACAGAAGAAAAAAATATTTGCAGATAACATCACTTTTAGGTTGATGGACTTTTTAGGAATTATGTAAGAATATCCCATTATGTTAAATTAGTTGTGTGTACATAGCACATCCTTAACTAATCCTTGCTGACACTTTTAGGACATCTTTTTCCTGGCATATGCATTCTATCTGGGCTGCCATACTTGTCTGAAACAACTAGGATGTTGCAATACACAAATGTACATAGGGTTTTTTTCCCCCTGTCCTTGGGGCATGTCAATAATAGTGGCTCCTTTGGAGTTTCTAATGCTGAGTTTTTAAGTTATTTGTAAAGCACTTAGAAGTTTTGAAAGAGATAGGGAAAAACAATCAACTGCCACAACCAGGTCAATCAGCACATCTCAGTTGTCTGAATTACCCCTTTGTGAAAAAGAGCATCTGTAGTTGCTTTTTCATTTAATATTAAGCACTACAACAAATTTTCCCCAATTTCCCTGATACTCCTTCAACAAGGATATCATAATTGAATGACTACATAATGCCTTCACTACTAAACAGCTACTAATATGTGAAACACAGGGTAGGATCCTCTAGTCATGGTTCATAGAAACCTTTCTCCACACCAGGTGTTATCAAACGTTGTTGCATGTGCAGCCAAATACTCATGGTTCACTTCTCTGCCGCCCTGATACCATAATTGGGTTGGGGAGGAGAAAAAAAACAGACCTAGAGGTTTTTTTTTTTACAATACTAAGAATAATAAGATGATGTTGTTTTTGTTTATTTTAAAGGTCATTGGATGAAAAACTTCTTTCCTACGTTATATAAACTTTAATACTTTTAAATGGGATAAATCTGAAATAAAATTAAACATTTTCTTAAGGTGCACATCAAACCTGGCCAGAGCTGGATGTCACATCTTTGCCTCCAAATGATGTTTAGAAGGAACAGCCTCTCTGAAGGAGTTTCAATGATACTCAAGGGGTGAATCAGATATCATAGATGAAATACTACTGATAAAGAATATTTTTCCATTTTGAACAAATCTGTAAACTACACCTTTGTTTATAGGAAAATGCTTATAATAGTCACTGTAATATTCAGCTGTGGATAAAAATTTGTGGAAATAAATACTTTTGAATAAATGTGGGTCTGCAAATATAAATGAAATCTAGAACTCTCTGCAGCCAAACTCTGGCTGAAAAGAAAAAAAACCAGCATAGCATATTTTCTGGGGACTTCGTGGGTAGAAGACCGAGGGTCTGTGTACTCAAACTCATCTCCCCTACCCTATGCAGATGTGAATGGTGAATCTGTGAGTTAATTTGATCTTTTTAGAAACCCTTTGAGCAGTGATTCCACTACTAGGATTATTTTAAGGATGTTGTTCTTAAGGTGGGTTGTGGGGTAGTGGGGGACCAAAAATGGGTTTGGATGTCACCGCTGTTTTAGAGTCTCATAAGAATCTTGTTTCAGAAGAACGTGGGGACTCCTTTTGAGGACCTCTCACTTATCCAGATCTTTGTCACACAAATGGAGCTTGGAGATTTCATTATCTTTAATTGAATTGTCTTTTAATTAAACAACAAAAAGCAACAACAAAGATTTAAATGTTTATGGACTGGGGACTAAGGTTTCAAAGCCAAAAAATACTACCCTCTCAGAAGTCCCATCTTACAGATGAAAGAGGACTGGACTCGGAGTCAGAGGGCCCTAGGTTCAAACCCAGTCTGTCACTACCTCTGTGACCTTGGCAAGGCACTTCATCTCTCTGGGCCTCAGTTTCCTCATCTGAAAAATGAGGGGTTGGATGAGAAAACCTTCTAAGTTCGATTCCAGCTCTAGATCCTGTAGCAGCAGTAGAAAGGCAACCAAACTAACATTACATCCTTCCAAACAGCAGCAAGGGCCGCTCCCGGAGGGGCAGGGCGCGCCAAGCCTCCGAGGGCACCCCGCAGCGGCGCTCCCCCGGTCTCAGTCCGCTCTCAGCACACTTTCCATCACCTGGTTCTACGAACTCAGATTGCGCAGTGGCCACGTCATCATCGACCAGGGCTCGAGAGCCACCTCGAGCTCCCCTCCCCCCCAGGGGGCACGGCCCGAGAGGGCGCCCCTCCCCCGCCCGCGCCGGGACCTGCCCTGCCTGTCCTGCCCCACACTCAGCCCAGGCCCGAACCCAAGCCTCCCATCCCCTGCGGTCCTTGTTCCATAATCACTTCAGGCTCCCAGCGCCGATCCCTCCCCTGCCCGGGAGCCCGATCATATAAGGAAAATACGGTGGGTTCACTTGGGAGCTGTGGGGGCGTCGGGCGCTTCTCCCCCTGCCTAGATCCTAACAACACCCCCTCCACCTTTGGGACGGCCCGCGCGAGCGGGACGACAAAAACCCCGCGCGCCCGGAAGTCGTCACCCTCGCCTCCCGCTCCCGAGAAGAAAGGCGGGCTGCTCAGCCAATCGCACCCCGCCTCCGAGCCGCTCGCCCCTCCCCTCCCCCCTTCCCCCCTTCCCCCTTCCGCCCCCCTCCGCTCTGCGGTGTTTGAGCCTTCGCTCTCTGGTTCTTTTGAAGGCATACAATTCCGTCAGCCTCCCTGTTCCTCCCTTTAGCTTGAAGTCATAATCCAATAATCTAATAAATCAACATTTATTAAGGGCCTACTATGTGCTAGGTATTGTGCTAAGTGCTGGGGACACAATGAATAAAAAGAGCAGTCCTAGCTCTCAAGGAGTTTACAATCTAATGATGTTGGGAGGAGACAACACAGAAAAAAAAGGCAGGAAAATAGCGGGGAGGGAGGAGACCTGGGGTGCCTGCTCAGGGGAACCTGGTCCCGAGGAGCTAAAGACAAACACAGGAGCAGATGCAAAGTGGAGTCTGAGTCCAGTTTCTGCCCTCGATCCAGGTGGGTGGTGAGAGGAGTTTGGTGCGCCACCCTCCAGCCCTCCAATCAGAGGGGAGAGGAGGCTGAGGGAGGTGGTGTCACTCCCGGCTAGAGCTGGCGGCGTGGAGAGCAGGTTGAACCAGGGAAGGATGTTTTGTTCTGAGTAGTTGAAACCAAGCAGAGCAGCAGATGCAAAGTGGATTACTTACAAGGGCCCAATGGGTCATTGCCGAATTCAAATCTAGCCTCAGACCCTTACTATCAGTGTGTGACCCTGCGCAGCACGCTTAACCTCTGTTTGTCTCAGTTTTCTCATCAGTAAAATGGGGATAAAAGCTCCTACCTTCCCAGGATTGTGGTGAGGATCAAATGATCATAATTGTAAAGTGCTTGGCACAGTGCCTGTCACATAAGACGCATTATATAAATGTTAGCTATTATTTTAATTATCTAGTCTGGTTTGACTTTTCTTCACATTATTATAAGCTAATGACTATATACATGCCCTTAACCAGCATATGCAATATTCACATTTGTATATTGTATATGTATATGTACATACATACCCTAAGAGAAAGGTGCAGTGTATAGAGAGACAGCCTCAGAGTGGGAAAGACTGGAATTCAAGTCTGACCTCTGACACTTAACTCCGGGAGGCTGAACAAATCATTTAATCTTTTCATGCCCCAGACCATTCTAGTTTAAAGCTGTAAGTTGCTGAGCAGATGCCCATCTGCCTTCGTAGAAGGAGTTTCCTCGCCAGAAAGCTACCTACTACACCTAAGAAACTACAGGTCCAGACTGAGGCACCTCGTGCTGGAGCCGTAGATAGAGAGCCAGCCTTAGACTTCTGGGTAAGATGATCATTTTAATCCCCCAGTTCCCCGGGCTACTTGCCAAGTCCCTTAAACCTTTCAATGCCCCAGGCAACTCTCCATGACATGGATAGATAGATAGATAGACAGACAGACAGACAGACAGTAGACAGATGATAAATATAGTCAGGTAGATAGATAAGACAGGTATATATATATACACACACAAGTGTTGCGGTCTGAAAGGTTGAGATCCCTCAAAGACTGAAGTACAGGACAGGGTCATCTGAAATGAATTCACAGACTCAAGCATTCTTTAAGTCAAGGTGGCAAAGATTTATTGTTACGCTTTTCAGCAGGCAAGGATTCTTAAGGAACCTGTAAGAGACTGAGGATGGAGCTAGAGTTTATATGGAAAAGGGCTACTATGTGCTAGGTATTGTGCTAAGTGCTGGGGACACAATGAATAAAAAGAGCAGTCCTAGCTCTCAAGGAGTTTACAATCTAATGATGTTGGGAGGAGACAACACAGAAAAAAAGGCAGGAAAATAGCGGGGAGGGAGGAGACCTGGGGTGCCTGCTCAGGGGAACCTGGTCCCGAGGAGCTAAAGACAAGACATTCCTGGAAAGGAATGCCAGGGACACTGATGAGGTAATCTAAAGGTGCAGGTGTCTTTGGGGGCTATGGATGGGAAAGTACAGTAAATATACCAGACAGGGAGGGAGAAGACAGAGGTATGGATCTTGGGAGTCTGGCAGCAGGAAGAGTCCTTGGGCCAGCCAAGGACAAAACTCCTTGGGCTGGGCAAGGCACCCCTCTCCCTCTGTCTTGATGAGAGAATGCTCTGCAATAAGGGAAAGCTTTCTCACAAGACAGGAACTTACTAAGGAATTGGGAGGCTTCCAGAGACGTGATCAGAGGGCTGGGGCCTGAGTATCCCAGCACTCTCTCACCCAGCTTTGTGTAGCTGCACCAGGGAGAGAGATAAGTCTCGTGAAGGGGCCCACGTATGAATAACTGCTGGGCACGGTGTTCTTTGGCTGGGGAGTGGTTGTCAGAGACAGTGTTACTGGGACTAGGGAGAAATTAGGGTCCAAGTACAAGCACAAGCACCCAAGCACCCCATCACAAGTATAATATTTGCATATAGTTAGCTATATCTATGTGTGTATGTGTATATGTTGACATGTGTATATATTAAAAGAAAATCAAAACCCTTTGTAATAACTACTCATTACCAAGCAAAACAAATTGCCACACTGGCCATGTCTAAAATCTGTTGTCTCATCTTACATCTTGGGACCATTATCACCTTTCTTTTCTGGAGGAGGGTACCAGGTTCATCATAGGCTCTCTGGAGTTGTGGTTGCTTACTGCTTTGATCAGAATTCTTTAAAATATATATATATATATATAT